TTGATCACCTCATGCGCCTGTATAGCCCTCGACTTTACCGAGGGGGATTACTCAAGCTCGCACGTCGAGCCACTAAGTCCTTATTCTTGAGCATCGATGATGATCGGGACCGGGGCTGGTTGGGCCAATTCGTTCGAGTGAGGACCTCAGACTTAATCCCGGCTGCGGATATGCCATTTCCAAAGAAACGTAAGTATAACTTTGCCTTCAAGATTTCTTTTATTGCTTTTCTTTTCCCTCCCTTCTCATCGATGTTATGTGATGATGCAGATGTTCCTCAGATGTCAGATATTGTTCCTCGACTCAAGGAGTGGGTCGAGGGCATTATGACATAGAAACCTTATTCTGAGCGCTTATGGCATGAGCTCTCGAAGGGCCGATGGGAGGCCCGTAACCATGGTGAGAATTATTTATCTAAGTTATATTTGATCTTACTTTCACATCATCGATCCCTGAATCGTTTTATTTTCTTTTTGCAGGTCTACCAAAAGATGTCGAAATGTGGCCTCCATTAGCCGATGACGACATATACGCTGATCCTCCTGCTCCAAAGCAGGATAAAGAGAAGAAAACAAGAAAAGCTCCTAGTTCCTCGAGCCCTGAAAAGAAAAGACCGAGGAAGCGGCTGGTGTGCAAACCTAAAAATGCCAGCGCCCAAGAACTCTCATCGAACTCAATCCATCGGTTGAGGGATGAGTCCGAAGAAGAAGAAGAAGAATGTGAATTGGTGGCTTACGTGAGAAGCGGTTCCAAACTGCCTCAAGCCATGAAGGCCATAGAAGAAGCAGTGGTTGAAGGCTCCGAATCAGGGAGGGTTGAGGCCGTTTTGCCCGAGCTAGGGGGGTCAAAAAAGAGACTGTGGCCGGTACTTCTCGGTCAGAAGATAATGTGCCTAAGGAGACGCTTGGGGTGATTGATATCTCTGGGTCGCCTTCGTTTACCGATTCTATGATAAATCAGTCTCATACGTTGAAAGATAACCTCGGCGAAGGGGCCCAAGGAGCAGCAGATTCTTTCCACAATTTCTTCGATGGCCTGGATTCTACCTTTCCGGAGGATGTCACCGGGTTGGGAGACTTACTGGTACCAAAGAAGATACCATCCCCGAGAGCTGGCAGATCTTCATCAATTCCAAAATTAGTGAATCAGTTCCCAACTCCGAGTGTTGTTCCTACTCGGAGACGAGCAATTTTTATGTCCATTCCGGAGGACGCCCGGGTTCTCTCTGCCTCGGTGGGGATTGCCAGTTACCTTCGGTGCTTGGTGACTGAAGAGGATCAAGCTATAATGAACGAGGTGGAAGCGCCCTACCTGTTCAACGAAGCTCAACAGGTGCTGAATTGGGTGATTTCGAATGTTCCTTCATTTTGTACTTAGATTTAATCATGAATAATCGTAACATTTTCCATTGTGCTTGCAGGCCTCTGTGCTTCATCATGAGGCCTTTCTCCTATATCGGGAGGAGTTCAAGCATTACGAGTCCGAGACTCAGGAGCTTGCTGAGAAGGACGCTTACAAGCTTCTTAGTGAGAAGCTCCAGGCCGAGTTAGAAGCGGCTCGAAAGGAGCATGCCGATCTGGTCGAGCAGGTAAGACAAATATTCGAACTTAGTGATGATGATTCAGAAACATTGGCTAACAACCCGAACCCACAAGTTCAAAAGAGACTTGAGTAGATCGAGCAGCTCTAGGTGGAGGTGGACATGGTGAAGGCTGAGGCCAAAGAATGGAAGAGAAATATGGACTACTTGGCCTCGAAAATAGAGACTGCCCGGGCGCAATTGGCTTCGACTGAGGTTTAGCTATAAAGGAGACATACTCGGTGTAGGTCAATACGATCGAGGGACTCCAATCTCAGTTGAACTCGGATGCTTCTAGTCAAGAGAACCTGGCCAAGGAGCTTGAGGCGGCCAAGTTAGAGGTCATCGCGGCCAAGACCGAGGCCGATGATAAAGTGGCCCATTTCAAGGCCAATGTCAAGGCCATCAGGAACAAGCAAGAAACATGGTGAAGCATGCGAGGTGGCAATCCCGAACGGAGGCCCTCGAGGGAGTCCATGCTCAAAATTTAGACATATTGGCTGAAATCGAGAACGCCAAGATATGCAAAGCCAAGGCCTGGAACTTGGCTTATCCTGAGGAGTATTCCGAGGGGTCTGAAGAGTCAGGTGGTTCTGATGGTGGCAAAGACCCCGTAGCGATGATGTAGCCCCCAATGAAGATTAGGCCATTTAGAATCTTTTTGCTTTTTGTACTATCCTTTTGTTGAGGTCGTTCGGCCTTTTGTAAAAATTATGTATCGGGGCTATTCAGCCCTTGTAAAGAAATTTTGATATATNCCAATAAAAAATTTAGGTTTATAGCTTGTCGAGGGTAGCCTTTAAAACCGGTTATAAGAATTTTTTGAAGGCCTTGTTTTTGCTACGAGTTTCGGACGTCTCTGATTCATGATGATATGGTCATAGCCTATTTATTTCGGGAAATGCCAAATGAGCTTTTGTACCCTCGGGTTTTGTTGACCCGGGAATGGCCTTAGCCTTTTAATTCGGGCAATGCCAAATAAGCTTTTGTGCTCTCGGGTTTCGTTGATCCGGGAATGGCCTTAACCTTTTAATTTAGGCAATGCCTACAGTCCCCGAGTGAAGTGAATGTTCGAACTCAGATTAAGGTGACCCTTGGGCTCGATATATTTAGGGGATCAGGTGTAGGAAATTCCTTGAGAAATTCAAGAAACGTTTTTTAGGACAAAATGTTTATATGCAAAAAAGAGTCTTCTTTTTTATTCTTGTGCATTATAGTTGTACATGTATACATGTTTTGTGCCAGGGCTCGAGTGATTTGAGCGGGCATGGTTCATTTGACCATTTGGCCCTTACAATAAATCCTATTGATCAAGGCCCTTCAATCATGAAGTCGAAATGCCTTGCTAAATTCGATATCCGGGGATATTGCCCCCCCCCCCCCAGTGTTCGAGGTTGACCAAAGAGAGGCATCAAATGCTGTTGTGATCATTGTCCCCGGTTCGTAGCCGGCCTTCGATTCTAAATTAGCACGATCTACTTTTTGCCTCATTAAAAACCTTGCCGGAAAACCCATTTGGGATAAAGCCGGTTCAAGGGAAAAAGAGTGCAATACGTGCTTTCAGACCTAGGGTCTCGAATCATCCTTTGTTGGTTACCTATAAGTGTTAGTTTAAAATGTAAATAAAAGAAAGAACGGGACCGCACCTTAACAGTAATATCGCTTTAAGTGAGTTATATTCCAGTTGTTTGGTAGTTGCTCGTCGTTCATTGTTCTGAGCTTGTAGGATTCTTTCCCGGTGATCTCGATAACTCGGTACGGTCCTTTCCAATTCGGCCCAATTTCCCTTCATTCGGGTTTCGGGTGCTTAGTGTGACCTTTCTTAGTACCAAGTCCCCGGTATTGAAGTGACTAAGGTTGGCCCTTCGATTGTAATACCTTTCGATCCGCTGATTTTGGGAGGCCAGTCGGACAAGGGCGGCTTCGCACCTTTCATCTAATAGCTCCAGGCTCGTACTCACAGCTTCGTCGTTTGATTCCTTCGTTGCATATAGCCCCCAATGAAGATTAGGCCATTTAGGATCTTTTTGCTTTTTGTACTATCTTTTTGTTTAGGCCATTCGGCCTTTTGTAAAAAATATGTATCGGGGCTATTTAGCCCTTGTAAAGAAATTTTGATATATATAGGCGAGGTGACGAGTGTCTATGCGTCGTCAAATTAATTATTTGCCTAATTATTTGAAAATTATAAATTATTTTAAATCATGAATTAATTACTATATTAATTGTTTCTCTCATATTCCTTGCTCAATATTATGCCTTGAATCCATGCTATACTTGCTATATGCTTATTTGATTTATGTGACTTAATTGATACTTGACATTTAGCATACTAATTATTAAATTGCCTATTTCCTCCATAATTTTCATAATTAATTGGTACTTGCCGTCACTTATTTTTAAACAAAACATAATTATTGTATGCTTGTTGTCTTATAATTTCATATTAATTGTTGCATTTATTGGAGTAATTTCTTTTATAAGAATTGATAAATTATATTATTTGAGGAGCGGGATGTACGCTGCAACAGAAATGAAAGTGAATATATTGGAGGAGCGGGTTGCATGCCGTAACATAATTGATGGAAATGAATATATTGGGATCGGGTTGCAGGCCAAAATGGAATTGAGTGTGAATATATTGTGGGATCGGGTTGCAGGCCAAAATGGAATTGAGTGTGAATATATTGTGGGATCGGGTTGCACGCCGCAACGGAATTGAATATGAATATATTATGGGATCAGGTTGCACGCCGCAACAGAAACTAATTGAAATAATAATTGGTTATGACTGTTGAGTTGGCTTCAACTGTTGAAATGAGATACCTGTTTTATTTCTATTATTGTTGTTATTATTATTATTGCGTACAAGTTAATATAAGTGACCTGTCTTAGCCTCGTCACTACTTTGTCGAGGTTAGGCTCACCACTACTGAGTACATGGGGTCGGTTGTACGCATACTACACTCTGCACTTCTTGTGCAGATACCGGAGTTAGTCCCAGCGGCGTATAGTAAATTTACTCGGATTCAACTATTCGCAGGAGACTTGAGGTATAATTGCATGACGTTTGCAGTTCTAAAGTCCCCTTCCACTTTATCGTACTTGTGTATTTCTTTCAGACAACTTTATTTTTATTCAGACCCTTGATTGTATTATTTTAGAAGCTTGTGCACTTGTGACACCATTTCTAGGATGGTATTTAGACATCGTTATTATTATGGATTATTCACTTTATTTCATACTTTATTTCCGTATTTGTTTCTTTGTTATTAATTAATTTAAATTTTTTTTAAAATGGCTAATATTATTCTAACGTTGGCTTGTCTAACAAGTGAGCGTCATCACGGTCTCGAAGGAGAGAATCTCGGGTCGTTACATGAAAAATTAAAATATGAGATTAAATAATCTATATCATAAATTCTGATAAAAGAAAATAGTTTATTAATAGCGAAAACAAAGATAATTTTTTTACAAAGCCAATTAGAACCAAGAATTACCACACATGATGCTTATAGACTTAGACGTAACGCTTCATGTAGTCTTGGGCTGTAGTGTAGTTAACCTCTGGATAGAGTTTGGATGCCTCTTCTCCTTCTTCTCCTATTTCAAAATTAACAAGGCATCCTTCATAGCAAACGTGATAATAGTGACACATTCCAACTTGTTCTGCATATTCCAGCTCTGTTTTTTACGGAACCAAAAAAAAAAAGAGAAAATTACATTATCAATACAACATTTTCATTCTTTTGGAAATGGCAATCAAATTGGGACAAAGGGAGTATATGATTTATGGTTCTTACCCTTCATAGGAGCCAAAAATTCTTCTTTGGAAAGAGTTGATTTTTTAATCTCCTTACCAATGAAGTTTTCCCAGATATGAACAACCTCTCTTTGGGAAAGTATGTTTTTAGGAGGCCTAATGTAAAGTGTCTTATTGAGTGTTCTTGGATCATCTATGCTCTTTATGGTATATGTTGCAATATCATCTTCGTCCACACAAATTGCTGCAAAATATATATATATCATAACAAAGAGAATTATACAAAATACACAACAAACCATATACAGAAAGATAAAAGGAACTAATTATACAAACAAATTA